CATCGAAAAATTTAGGGAGATTTTGTGTGGATTGAACCATTGGCCGGCGAAGGTATTCCAGTGGGTGCACGAGTGCTCGATCAGGATCATGGTCGATTGAAAGTAGTCGACGACCTCGGACAAGTGAGTGGTTATCGAGATTTATTTGAGTACTTTTTGAGGCGTTGCTCACTCTCCAATGTCGCCTTGCGCAATTCCGCGGTGTCCGCCATTTTTTGGAAAAATTATAGCGTTTTGACATCAAAGGCCGGCTGATGCGCTGACGCCGCCTACCTTGACCCTCTTAATCACTCCCGCCTTCTTTTGCGATTAAATCATTGCCGTCTACCACCGATGAACAGCAGGTCGCCTAAATTTGACCGAATTTTCAGCGTAAAGGAGAGAGTGATCAGAAAAAAATGCACTATGAAAACGAAAGATAGAGAGACCTGTTGCTCGGAGAATACTTGGAATGGGAAGGCAATTCAAAGGCAAGGATGACCGTCGTGTGACGCAAGACCCTGTAAGACTCGCTGCCGTGAAAGTTCGGAAAAAGAAAGACTTCAATGATGACCAGAAAGCTCTTCGTTTTCTGTTTTTCTCTTTTGGGCCAAGTAATCACTTAAGCAAGCTGACACTGTCAAGGATGTATGCTATACGAAAGTATTGGGCGCCTAAGTATTAGGTACCGGATATCTTAGTGTCGTTTTTTCACCGCGAGTTTCGGACCACCAATATTTTAATTCAAAATCCAGTGAGTGAAACGGCATATCCATCGAATGACTCATTAGCCCTTTCCCATTTACCAGTATGAGTGAAAACCTCGTACGATTAAAGTTAGGAATTTTTTGAGACGAAAAAGAGAGGTAGGTCGAATTTGACATCATCTGACAAATCATCCCTCTACCTTGCTAAACAGTTGGGCCTGGACAAAATATGTATACATTTAGTTAGAGTAGGGTCTGCACTGTTTGGTGGAAAATTTATTACTTACCAGCTCAACTGGACAATTTTTCCCGGCATCTTCGATCAGTAACTAATGCTAGGGTGTCCTACCATTCCAGCACAAGACTGGTGCAGCCCCGTTTTGACTGATTTAGCTAGGACCACCTTTTTGGCGACGGTTGCGGGCATCCCTTCAAAGACTTTACTGTCTTTTAAGAAAACTGTGAAAAACCGATGAGCATTTTAAATGGTAGTATTCCCTCCATCAAATGCAATGCTGGTTTGGTGGGCGGAGGTTACAGCTCTCAGCAAGAATTTTGAATGCATTTGGTACACACATGCGAATTTGCACACTGGACCCAGGAATTTTCAGAAGAAAAGTATAAAAATTGGGGGAAAGTTAAATTGTGAACCAACAATAGAAAACAATAAGCAACATATTTCGCAGTATTAATGAGCAAAAACTGCCTTCTGGATATTGATTTTCCATAGTAATCGGCCCCAAAACTTCCTGAACTCAGAAAAGCGACACTAAGATATCCGGTACCTAATAGTTTTTAAGGAGTGGTTCTGTATTTCCAGCATTTTTTCGAGCAGATATCTCGTATTTAAAATTTCGATACCTCACTTAGGATACATGACCCCCTCTAGAGCTAGGGGTCATTTATCCTAATAAAGACAGACAGCGAGCACAACACCCACACGGGGGAAATCCGAAATGTTCGATTAGCAGTTCTATCCTCTCTCTCTAATCTACTAGAGCGAAAGTGGTTCAGTGCAAATGGTACGCTACACGCGGCGCGATACGGGGATCGAATCCTAGGTCATGTTCGTCCGGGCCAAGCCTTCCATCCCTCCGGGTCGGTTAATTGGTACCAGACTTGTCTGGGAGGATAAAAACACTGACTTGTACATCGGCTGGCCCCCGCAAGTCATTGTATAGGCCACATCGCATTCAAACGCCACTACGAATGTACAAATGGAAGTAGAATGCGTGCCGCATCCCAAAAAGGATCAACGGCAAATGCAAATGCTTTATCTTTTTTCTTGTAATGTCTTTAAGTGGGGAAGGTTTTAAACATCGATACATAAGTAAATTTGACCTAAGTTGGCACGCTCCACCTGGCAGTTTCGCGCACCATTCGATTTTCGGTCGGAACCATCAAAACCACAATCAGAAACTGTTCCTAGTGGCGGAGCGGTTGCTATGAAGTGGTCTCATAACTCGAACTCTTGATCAAATTTATTTGGGTTTCCGTAGCTGATAAACTTCGATAAATACTCAGGAACAATGGTTGGCGGCCGATCGAAGAGTTCGACTGATGCACCCGTCGTCAGTGCAAGGAGTGGAGGACATGACGAAACTCGGCGATTACCACGAAAGCGCCAATAACTAAGGAACATTCACGTTCGGTATCGAGAAAAACTCATCTATGTGAAGTAGCTTCATCCTCTTTGCACTTTTGAAGTTAAGAGCAAAACGAGGTGCTTAACAAACTGACGACAGCGTGACGCAGCCATGCGCCCCGTCCTACACGCCACGTGGGACATTCGCGCGCGCGCCCTGCGCGTTCCATCAATCCAACCACCTTTACTCAGCGCTTTAGCGCGCTTCTTTCCAATTTGGCTCGTGACTCTTCCATGGACCACACATCACATATCTGTAAACGACTTAATTCACCGTATGGCCAAATATACTTACAGCGAAAATTTTCTAAGCTTTATGAAATTGACAGCTCGACTAATTCCTCATTTTTTCCTGTCCTGATGGACACGAGGCGATTTTTTTCAGAATTTCACCACCCTATCCCCGAATAGCTTCTTCACTATTGCGGAACGATTTTGTACCATTCATGCTTTGCATTGTTATCACTAAAAATTTACGGATGTGGGGTAAACGGCAACGCTCGCAAATCGCACCTGTCTCACGTGGCCCAAAAAGCTGAAACGTGCGCTGTCGGCAAAGTGTGAACATCAACGAATCCCTCAAATCGTTGATATTCAGACCTATACTGGTTCGATTCTGATCGCTGTCAATCCATACATGGACATTCCGATTTATACAGCTGAACAAATCCGCATGTACAAACGAAGGAGGATTGGTCAGAGAAGTTATCATTCTATTGAACGAGACTGTAAGACAGACGGCAGACGTAATGGAGTATTAATATAATACATACATATACAGGTCTCTCAGGTGAATTACCGCCTCACATTTTTGCTATTCGCCGACAACGTCTACACAAATATGCGGAAGCATGGCAAAAACCAAAGTGTAATCATCAGGTAACTATCGGAACTCTTAGTCCGTGACCTCACAGTCACCGCTTAGTACCAAGTAAATTATAAAATTGAAACAAGGACGAATTTCCAGCTGAAGCCTTTTGCACTCTCCCAAATGTGGCACCTTTTCAGCGGTGAATCCAGGCGCGGGAAAAACCGAATCAACTAAACTCGTGCTGCAGTTCTTAGCCACAATCAGCGGTCAGCATAGCTGGATTGAGCAGCAAGTTCTGGAGGCTAATCCTATTCTTGAAGGTTAGTTGAGTTGTTGCCAGGGCCAGTTTCATCTTGTATCTCATCATCTGGCTCATTGAGCTGGAATGTGAGGTTTACTAAGGTCGCATACTGTTGATGGAACTGTTTTGCGGCTGACCCACCTGACTTGACCTTCAACATTGCTTTGTCACTTGCCTCATGTTTCCTCCCTCGAAGAACCAAAGCTGTTCCGCGCGACATTTGTAGCGAGCCTAACGAACGTCAATAAGCCATACTATTTTTCAAATAAATCTAAAGTTCTTTCAAAAATGATCCGATCGCGAGATTTCGATATGACAAAAACGAATGAAATGCTTCCATGTTTGAGAGAGGCAGATAGCAGAACTCTTATGCCATTCTCAACGCTCACTGAAGTTGTCCCAAGACCCTTGGTAATAAGTTAACGGCGATGTTCTTTGTAATGGCATGTGATTGGAGATTCACGATTTGGGATGGAGCGTTTACAGCGGCGAACCGAAGGTGGATGAAAGGCGAAATAGTAGGTATAACAAGGAAGAAGTGAGCTAATCAGGGTAGTGCCTCACGGCAACCTAGGGTAAGATTCTTCAGAACAGGCATTTTTGGAAAGTTTCGTAAAATAGCGCCGAAAACAGGCGAGTAATGAATTAGACTGGATTCCTTACTGGAGCGCTAGGATCAGCTGCTTGGAAAATTAGTAGAAGATTAATAGCAGAATGTTCGCAGTTGAACTCGACGGAGACATGACGCCTTTGCGGCAAAGTGCGCGTCAGCGGCGTCGTAACGAAGATTTGCCCATGATGACGTGCGCTTTCGTGGCATCTCCCCCCCCCCCCTAAATGGCAGTCTCAGCCTCCTATTGGCTAATGTTGATGGAAAGGGAGAGAGGGGGGACGGACTGGAGTTGCAGGTAGGGTATAGCGGCAAAGGAGGGTATAAATGCATAGCAAGGTGGTTACAACGATGACATTATCCATCGTATTATACAATCTCGTCCGCCTCGTCCAGCGTGTAAATCAACTGGCAGAAAAGAGATCCCATTTCGCGAGTCTAGGAAATCTTCCTTCACTAATGCACTATTCACTACATTAAAGGCACAACCCAGGCAGAGGTCGTGTGAACGCTTCCCTTCGGTCTGTATAGACCCCTAGAGGACAATCACAAATGTGGCGTTCCCGTGCACGGAAACCAACCGACAAGAGCGCTTGGGCCTTGCAAAGTAAGCTGCTGAAGCTGCAGATTTTTTTCTCTTATCAGGCTGTTGTCTGGCGCTCTCTCATCTGTAGCGCTCTCTCGCCTCATACTCTCCTCTCCGCGCTTAGTCTCTCATTCCCTTAGCACAGCCGATTAGGAAGGTGAGTGAGCCCTAACCTAAGCGTTTTCGACGGATTCTTTTCCTTTTTTCTTTACTGCCGGCCCATTTCGCACCAATACATTCGCATTCGTGTGCAAGAGCCACACCAATGTGATCCTGGGGCATGCCTTTAAGTTCCATTTCCGACATTTCCTATTTGTCTTACCATTGCGTTTGATTAGAAACATGTTTTCAGCATTCGGCAATGCAAAAACCGTCCGGAACGACAATTCGTCCCGCTTTGGGAAATACATTGACGTACATTTCAACGCAGCCGGCTCCATTGAGGGTACGTAGGAAAAGTTTAAACTTTTTGCTCTCTACTCAACTATCCATTATTGCTCAGGAGCTCTCATATTGAAAAATATCTTCTGGAGAAGTCACGAATCGTTTCCCAGTCGGTCGGAGAACGAAACTACCATATCTTCTATTGCCTTCTGGCCGGTTTACCGGTGGAAGAGAAGCGACGACTTGAACTAACCCAGCCATCCGACTACTTCTATCTCACACAGGTGACCATCTATCCTTTATTACCACTGAACAATAGTTAAATAAAATAGAAAAATAACAGAATCAAACTTATTGTGATGTCTTTGAAGTTTGAGGCGTAGTTCTTCTTGATGTCACCCCATTCTCTCCAGAGAAAGAGAAAGGAAGTCGTTTCCGCGGAATCAGCCATTATTAGCGAAGATCGCAAATACGGTCTCCTAGACAGTGTCGGCTTTCTGTTGTTCCAATTCCAGAACTTTGACGCCTCCCTCCCCCTCCCTCTTTCAAAACATGGGGCGCTTTTTCAAAACACTTTATTGTATGTTAGCGACAGGCAGTAGAGTATGAGGTCGTTTGACCACAACATCTGCGCGCTACATGGTGTGGTAGACGCACCACCTCCAAACTCCTTTCCACCAATGACGTACTCAGATGGACTCCGCTTCCTAGGCGTTGAGGGGAATTGATGTCTTCAAGTCCACAGTCGCGAAACAGCTTCTCGATCAATAGTTCAGCATAATGCTCCAAACAAACTCACAAAAAGTATTTGCCAATGACATTTCGAACAATCCATTGAAGAAAATTGACCTCTCGTCTCAATAGATTTTTGAAAAATGGTTTCTTATTTGGTTTATTCAAGAATGTATACAGTATTCCTCCAGCAACTTAGCAAGCCACTCTGAGAGAAAAATCATGTTGTTTGAAGGGGAAGACTCTGGAAGCCGATGGTCGCGACGATGCAGCAGATCTTGCGGAAATTCGTTCAGCGATGAAGGTTCTACTGTTCAAAGAAGCTGAAATCAGCGCCATCTTCCAAATTCTCGCTACTCTGCTCCATATCGGAAATGTTAAGTACAGAGGTGAGAGCAAGGTTTTCTGATCGAGCCCTTCTGTGGTCTAGATAACTCATTTCAGGAATTGTTGTCGACACCATTGATGGGGTCGAGGTCAGCGATGCAGCAAACGTTGCCCGAATAGCGAAGCTGCTCCAGGTATTCAAATAACTTCACATTAGCTATATTAGATTTTTCACAAGAATACTGAGTTATGAATAAAGCATCCGTTCCGGGCGGGACTCGAACCCGCACCTCGCCTCTTACCGGGCAAATGCGCTACCAGTTACGCTACCGGGGCACCATTTCATCCCAACTCAGCTTTCAATGTATACG